TTTCTCTTTTTCTGGTTTGTGTTATTCCATGTATCCAATTTGCATATTTCACCAGTAGTTACAATCTTGCTCTGATTCTTACCGAGTGTTATATAGTGTTGCAAGTTGCGCTACATGATTTTCGGCTTTATATGAGTTACCCGAAAGCGATTCGTTCTTCTCCGACACCCTAGACAATGATTTAATTCTACCATAATATAATAATTTGAATGTGCTGGTGTAATGTTCTGTGGCATGAGGGATTAATTATCGGTTTTAGTTGTCTTTTGGTCCCCTTATAACTCTATCATGTGCATGCAACAGTAGTTTCTTTGATCATGATGAGAGATATTCATCGATAACTTTGTTATTGAGCTGGTGTGCATTTTGAAATTCTATCTTATGCATCTTGGACATTTCGAGCTTGTGGAAGTTAGATGCCACAATTGAGAAACTTAAATTTTGGAACTTCTCTAGTTCACTTCTCTTGTGGAATTTGTGTCATGTGTATAAATGTGCGAGCCCACACAATTGTTTATGATCTTCTTTAGTTGCTTTATATGCTCTCCTTTTGTACTAATTAAAGATTATCCAGGAAAAAAATGCATTGTTTTGGATCTTCATAATCTTTTTGTTTGTTTAGCTTGCATGTCCATGTTGATTGGCACATTACGTGAGTTTAAAATATGCTTCCATTCTGTAATGTTGTTTCAGCAAGCTGCGCTTGTCTTGAATGCTTCCCGACGATTTCGGTATACATTAGACTTGAAGAAAGAAGAAGAGAGGGAAAAATTGCTTGGAAAGATTAGAACACATTCTCAAGTCATTCGGGTAAAATGCATGTTCTACATTTTTAACCGGGTCATCTATTCGCAGTAGATTGATTTTTAATCAATAAATGCTTCACCAGGCTGCTGTTCTTTTCCAAGTGGCTGGTCAAGAACTAAATGGTAATTGCTTTTCATTCTGTCCCACATCGCATGTTGTACGCTGATTAAACTCAATTGGATCTAGGTTATGTAAATTACATTTTGAATTTTGTCCCTGTCAAATTGTTGCCGTCGCTAGTTATCATGATTCTTGTTATCATCGTTTTATTGGCAAACCTTTTGTATTCTCAAGATACTAATTAGGGAACTATAAGTTTCTCTGTGTAACTTGACTTTTCTTGTTCATCATTATCTTCGGCTGCATTTGCTTATATGTGACTTTAAGTTGAGGGTGGATACGTCTTTCCTTTATATATTATTGTTATTATTATTATTATTATTATTATTATTATTATTATTATTATTATTATTATTATTATTATTAATGATTTGGTCCATTTGGAGATGGGCAGTTATCATTTTGTCAGCTTCAGATACTGCTTCAGATACTAATGCTGTGTGATCATGTTTATTTCTTCTTCTGGAGCATCAATTTAAGCAGCTGCTATCTACTTTCATAACATGGTCATTGGTTGAATTCTTCACCCAGGTCAAGGAATTTCAGAGCTGCCTTCAAGCCCAAATCAAAATGGTGACTTTGGTGTCTCCTCAGATGAACTTGTTTCGGTATCTAGGGAGCATGATCTTCCTCGTTTGCAGCAATTTGGAGGGGCAAGTTCATCACTGTTTTGTAGCTCTTCATATTTTGAGTTTGCTATCATTATCGGTAGGTTTGGCGTTCTATGCTGATTTGTTGTCCCTCTGTCATGGCACCAGACTACAGGAGTAGCTGAGAAATTGAAATCAAGTCTGGATAAGGGCGTACCTGGTAATGAGACTGATCTTATGAACAGAAAGAAAGCTTTTGGGTCAAATACATATCCTCGGAAGAAAGGAAGGAGTTTCTGGGTGAGTGATTAGTTTGTCTTTAAGAAATTCATCTTACTTGCTAATGAAATAAAAAAAAAAAAAAAAAAAAAAAAAAAAAAAAAAAAAAATTCACAGGTATAAATGGGAAGTTTTGTATTTCTGTTTTTATTTACCTTTTCCTTTTCTTTTCTCTAGAGGTTTGTCTTGGATGCTTGTCGAGATACCACTCTGATAATTCTGATGGTTGCTGCTGCAGCCTCCTTGGCCCTTGGTATAAAAACCGAGGTAAGATGAGCAGTCTCTATTATGTAAAGTGACTTATTATAATATATTTAGTTGTGACTGTCCATCTTGTACAGTGAAGGTTTTTTCCTCGACCAATTTACTCGAGAAACATGGAATGTTCTCACTATTATGTGTATATTAAATTATTGTGCTCGTCTCATGCTTCGATTGGTCCAGAATTCTAATGTAGGTAAAGAATGAAAAAAGTTTGAGTGTTTTATTTCACATGAAGGAGTGTCTGATAACATGATTACATAGATCGTTGCAGATAGTGAACTATATGTAGTACTTGAGGATGTCACTTTATGAACTGCATGAATTCTTATAAGGATTTCTTATAGATTGAATTTTGTTATTGAATTCTATTCTTCTACGCTCTCTGTGTTTCCATGAAAAGTAGTCTTTGTGGTGCTTTATTTTTTCTTGTTACATTGAATTATATAATCAAATGAGGCTTGATGACAATGATATATTCTCATATCCAAGAATTCACCATGTTTGTATGGTTAATCATGGAACGAGCTTGGTAATGATTGTGAGGAATGCAATGAACTGTATCAAAAAAACGCTTATTTAATGATTCCCATGGATTTTCCCCCTTATTTTAGGGTATAAAAGAAGGCTGGTACGATGGAGGAAGTATCGCCATTGCGGTTCTTATAGTCATTGTGTTTACAGGTATATTCATATAACTATATGGTTTGAATTTATTACATTTTGTTCGATTAATACAATGCCTGTGTATGATGATTTTAAGTGTAATTCCCCATGTGATTGTGTTTGTCAACACGGACTTCTTTACAAGTTAATTGAACTGGATTTTAATTGCTTAATTAGGTTGAACATAAATTAGATCCAAAGCTTTAGTAGTATGTTGCTGTGACATATGCTCAGAGGAATTCTTTAGTTTCATGTTCAGGTTCATTTCTGTTTCCATTTCATGTGATGTAGAATTCGCGGACATGTGACAGAGCATTGATCAACTATGTAATACGTGTGTGTCTGAGAGAGTAAGTGAGTGAGTGATTTATTGATTGATATCATAGAGAATAGTACCATCTTGAAAGCTATAACTCTAAACTTTTATTAGCTGGGTAGCTGCAGCTGCTGCTGCTTTGTGTTTTAGACATTTTACCAGAAAACTGATAATTTACACTTCTGAACTTATTTCTATTCTGAAGTTCAAAAAGAAGGTTGAATTTAAAGGAAAAAAAAAGATACATAAACATAATGAGCTGTCTTTCCTTCGTACGTTTCAGGTAAATTAACAATGGTGATGAATTTAATTTTTGTGTCAAGTGAAAGAGGATTGTTAGTTCAAATGGGGAGTGACCTGTTTGTAAAAGTACTTGAGTTTGATGTGGTTGTGTGTATCATGACGTGAAACTTTGGTTATTAGACAATTTAAAAGTTCAGAAGGAGAAGTCAATTAGCTACAATCAGAAAACAGGTGAAAGCAAACACAGTTTGCAACTTTGCATTAGAAAAAGAGAAGATAAAATGGGAACTATCGGAGAAATGAAATGAGTTTCCCCATGAAGGGATGTTTTCAGTTAGTGTTGTGAGAACATAGTCCCTAGATAGTGATGTAACCTGATGACAACCTTCCAAGGGTAATATACACTTGCTGCTGGAACCATATACAGTTGCATTTCTATCTATTTATATGTCAGTTTTACAAACTAATAAGGTTGCATTCTTCCCATGATAGCAACATATGCATTTCATACTTAATAATACCTTCGACTTGGTAAACTAGTTATCTATATGATTATTCTGCACTTTTTGCAGCTGTAAGTGATTATAAACAATCCCTTCAGTTCCGAAATTTAAATGAAGAGAAGCAAAACATACAAATGGAGGTAGGCTTCATGTGGAGCTTTTGCAATTACCTTTTTGTTCCTCGTCACTGTTTCTTTTGTCCTATACCTCCTAAGTTTCTTTTTCAGGTAATTAGGAGCGGGCGGAGAATTAAGATTTCAATATTTGATATAGTTGTTGGTGACGTTGTGCCTCTCAAAATTGGAGATCAGGTGAATGGAAAGATCTCTCTTATTTTAATTTGAAGTATTCAAAAGGCACCAATCGTAGAGCTACAATGTGATGTTTGGGTTGATTGCTTTGTCCCTTGCCTTCACATGTCTACAGGTACCAGCAGATGGACTTGTAGTATCTTGCCATTCCCTTTCTGTTGATGAATCCAGTATGACTGGAGAAAGTAAAATTGTAAGCCTCAAATACTGAAAATACTCTGCTGTATTTTATGGTAGCGACTTTGTCGTCACTCTTATTTTCTTGCAATTTGACCTTGTTAGGTTCACAAGGATCATACACGAACACCCTTTCTGATGTCTGGATGCAAGGTAGCCGATGGCTATGGCACCATGCTGGTAAGTCTTGTTCGTGTTTCACTGCTGAAATCTTAAGTCGCATCTCTGTAATTGAATTTTTGTACTCAAACTATTTGCAGATACATATCTATGTATAGTATTCATGGGAGAGTAGTATAATTTATAGGATTGCTGCCATTCTTTTGGCTTAGATTGTAAATATTCTTCTAAGTCATTAATATATGCGTGGTTTCATTTGCAACGTAAAGGGAGAAGAGCAGAAAGGGATATAAGAAGTAATGATATGTATGCCAGGAATCCATAAGAGCATAAACTAGAAGTAACGACATATTGACATGTATGCCAGGAATCCATAAGAGCATAAACTGTTGCTTATTTCATCTCTCTTTTCGTTAACAAAACATTCTGTTTTACAGCATGCTTTTAGCTAAGAAATTGGAACTTGTATCTCATGAGAAGTGCAAATGCCTGCTCTTTTTGAACAGAATACTAGAAACTTTTGTTGGTTTTGTTACGTAGATGATTTTATCGGAACGTACACTTCACACCAGCAGATGTGCATGTATTTTGTGACGATATGCAGTGTGAATGGTCACTTGGAGTTTCCATCTAATACCAAAGTGGACATTTATATGATGATTATGATGTCGTAATGTTTATTTTTGTTTTATATCTTTTGTTTTTTGTTTTTTTATTTTTTTTTTTCTCAGGTAACTTGTGTGGGAATAAATACAGAGTGGGGACTGCTTATGGCTAGCATATCAGAGGATAATGGTGAAGAAACACCATTACAGGTTGGATATTTTTCTTTTTTTTTTTTTTTCTTAATGTTCTTTGTGATGCTTTGTGGCCTTTTATTCCCATTTATACTGTATTTGACCATTATTAGGTCCGATTGAATGGAGCTGCAACTTTTATTGGCATAGTTGGACTTGCTGTGGCAGTGATTGTTCTGATTGTCCTTGTAGCCAGGTATCTTTGTTTGCTATAAAATATTAAACATTTATGTTATTGATTGAGTAGAACTATCATCTAAATTATATTATATAACTATTTTTGAGATGAACAGATATTTTACTGGGCATACGAGAGATCCTTATGGCAGAGTTCAATTTACAGCTGGGAAGACTAAAGTTGGTGATGCCATAGATGGATTTATAAAAATATTCACTGTTGCGGTATGCACTAGTTTAGATAATTATCGAATATTCTTTAATTTATGCTAATCTAGGGTTGCCAGCTAATCTGGGTAAACTCCCAGGTGACAATTGTAGTAGTTGCAGTGCCGGAAGGTCTTCCATTAGCTGTAACTCTGACGTAAGTCTATAAGTGTGTTGATTTCCAAAATCTGTTAATTGTGCTTGCTATTTGTGGAACACAGTAAACTTATTCCTCTATATTGTTCTTAAAAGTAGTTTAAACAACGTCAATACACAATTATCATGCATTTCTTAATGATTACTGAAATTTTCCGTAAGGATTCTCTATGGATATATCCATAGGCATAGTAAAATTGCACGTACTACTTTCCATTTTTTTTCTTCTTTGATATCATGGCCTCCTGCTATTTTTCTTTCTGCTTCTTTCCCGTAATTTTATGTTATTGCATTTTTAACTCTTCATTCAATTGAAGAAATTCAAATTTAAACCACTGGTTTGGTTATGCTGTGTTTATCATGTTGATGCTTTCTGATAGTGTTCTTTAACATGTGCTTCTCCTTTGTAGCCTTGCGTATTCGATGAGAAAAATGATGGCCGATAAGGCGTTGGTATGTATAATTAATGCAGATTAGATGAGTTAAATCACATTTCTTTGCTTTGAATATTCTCAGTATATTCTATGGATTGCATTACTCAATTGATCTGCAGGTCAGGAGGCTATCTGCCTGTGAAACAATGGGATCTGCGACCACCATTTGCAGTGATAAAACTGGGACTTTAACTCTGAATCAGGTGCTAATGTGTCTCCTTCCTTGCTCTTAACTTTATCTAGTGGGATGTGTAAAATTGCTATAGCTAGTGAATTGTGGTGATCTGGGTACTCGGCTATTTGTTAGCATCATATATGCTGCCTACTCTTCTTGTACAGATGACTGTAGTTGAGGTGTATGCTTGTGATAAGAAAATTGATCCTCCAGAAAATAAGTCCCTCCTTCCGCCAACAGCTGTTTCTTTGCTATTTGAAGGCATTGCACAAAACACAACTGGAAGTGTTTATGTGGCAGAGGTATGTTTTAGTTAAATATGTATGTGATGTCTATATAATAAATTTAATTTACATTCCAACTATAAGACGAGGCTTGGCTAGCATATTACTAGTCCTGTAGTGCTTTTTAATGCCTTGGTTGTGGTGTGTGGAACAATAAGTACTTATGTTGTCTGCTGCTTGTGCAGTGCTGCTCCGTGGAATTACAACATTTGTTATTAGCTATAATATTGAACAGTGAAAATCTGTAATAATTTGGTTTTGAATTCAACTTATGTAATCCACATTAATATTAATATGATACTTGTTAAGTATTGCTACTTTGTTGCATACAGCTTTTTAGCTCTCCTATTTTTTTCTATCACTGCTCATATTATTGTATCATGTTGTGACGGTGTATGGTTATTGTTGCGAAGAAAGTTCAAAGCATGATCTAACCATTCGCTATATTGACTGCCATCTCTATAACTTTACATTCACTTTCTGGAAAATTGCGTATCTTGTCTATTATTTTGATAACTGGCATGTCAGCAGAATGGCGGAGCTCCTGAGGTGTCTGGATCACCAACTGAAAAGGCCATTCTGCAGTGGGGAGTAAAAGTACGTACATTTTTGCATGTAAATGAAGTATTTTATTTTTTGTGGGAACTTATCTTCTTCTTTTTCTTTCTTTCTTTCCTTTTTTT